GTGTGTGTGTGTGTGTGTGTGTGTGTATGCATGTATGTATGCATGTATACATACACACATACATACATACACACAGATACACACAGACATACATACACACATATGCAGGTCATTAAATAGAAGTATGCTTATCTTTCCTTATGCCACATTTTTGTGTAGCCTACAAACTTTCTAAACTATAACACACCAAATATATCACAACGTGGTTAGCAGTATGCATCTGGTCGTTGTTAATGGTAATGAATCCCATTTAGAAACAGAGTGAAGAAATGAGGCAAACTATCCTCTAAATTGTGGTGAGGATCTCATTTGTGGACCCTAGAATGCCAACAGGACAGGGGCACATTTCGTGGAGCCTTTTCATTTTATTTTGGGAAGAGCAGTTGTTTCTCATTTAACACTTCAGGAATAAGTGGAACAATTTGGAATGCAGTATCCACACTAGAGTCTGATCTTGACAAATGTGACTGTTATCTAGTCAAAGGTTTATGTAATTTTAAATTTGTTGATGGAATCATGAACTGGAGGAATTGAAAGGGACCTATAGGTCATCCAATCCTATCCCCTATCCAGTGCAAGAATCCACTAGACCATTATCAACAACTCTAGCTCCAGTTTGAAGACCTTTAGTGAGGGACAGTACACCACTGTTCTAGACAGATTTCTCCAATAGTTAACATCTGTTCCTGTCAAAAAAATTCCTCCTAATATTCAGGTTGAATCTATTTTCTATTAATTTCAACTGACTGGCCCTTATCCTACTCTTAGTTTCAACAGAGAACAGGTCCTCTATCTCTTGTGCATGACAGCCTTTTATTTGTAGATCTTTATCATCTATAAAAAGAAGAGTCTATTCTTTTGGAAGTTAAATATGCTTAGTTCTTTTAAATATTCTTCATAGGATTTGGCTTCCAGACCCCTTATAATCGCGATAGCTTCTTTGTGATCCAACAGCGGCTTCTCCATGCCCCTTTTAAAGTGCCATATTCAGAATGCAATTACATTCTATGACCTGGAAGCAGTGCTTTTGCTAACGCAGCCCAATATTTCATTGGTCTTTTAAGCTGCTGCCTACTTATATTCAGCTAGTGGTTTATTAGAACCCCTAAATCATGTGCATCGCTGTCAAGCCAGATCTTTTCAATCCTGTATCTATGCACATGATTTTTCTTGCTTAAATGCAGGACCTCAAACTTGTCACCATTGTATCTCATCTTTGACCAGTGTTAAAACTTTCACTTTGAGTTGTGATGTCCTCTATGATCTTTACCAATTTCCCTTGCAAATATGATCAATATTCCTTCCACTCCTTCTTCTGGATCATTTACAAAAGTGCTGAAAAGCATAAGGCTGAAGTCCATCAGGTTCTACAAGACTTTTTGATGCTTTACCTGAAACGTGATAGGTACTGAAAGAAAAACAAAACCAGAGTAGGATCAAGAGCATCTTTTAGGAAAGGAGAACTCCATTAATAATCACCTCACTCTTATTTGCCCTGCAGTTTAGGAAATACAGCTGAGTAGGACCTGGATGGCATCAAGATAATGTTCCTGTCTGCCAGTAAATCAAGAGTGGGCAACCCTTGACCCACATATCCTACGCGGCCCTTTTCCCCCTATTTGGGTCTCCCAGAGTGCCTGGTACAGTCATGTGTGTACGTCTATGTGTATTTCTGTTTTCTACTTTATGCCTTTTCTGTTTTCTTGATAATGTCTTTTTAAAATAAATAAGCAATCAAACAAGTGTGCCAGTCCTCTAACAGACTCAGCACATCCATTCTTCTGGATCAATTTGCCTCTAAGAAAAGAGAAAAGTAGAAATTTCCACTTCAAAAGCGAAAGAAAGAAAGAAAGAAAGAAAGAAAGAAAGAAAGAAAGAAAGAAAGAAAGAAAGAAAGAAAGAAAGAAAGAAAGAAAGCAAGCGAGCAGATTCTGGTAACAAGGAAGTTCTGTATACAGTATAGGGACTAAAAAGGATGGTATAAGCTATGACTTTGGTAGTGGGAGGGAATCTAGATTGTACTCTATTGACATAGAAATGTACGTGGTACTATGCTGTGCAGCAACAAACTTTCCTGATGCCAGTGCAGAATAATTCCCTGTATAATGCTAGACATATTTACTGAAAGGTAAGTCCTTATGTCCAGTAGTGTCTAAAAGCAACAAGCAAAGGTGATTTGTCTTACACACCCTGGCTTAGTAAACCTTTACATAAATGCAATAGGATCTTCTTCCATTGTTAACCACGTAAAGCAACAATGCTTCTGTAATATGGTTCTAAGAAGGAAGAGTGTGGTGGCCTCCTCTGATAGTGGATGCTGATGGTCAGGAAGCAGTGGCTGTGGAGTCAAAGACAGACCTGTCTTACATTCTCCAAGGTAGCCCGTTTCCTCCAGTTTCAGGGGGAAATACACTTCTGTTTCTACTGAGGAAGAACATTAAATGGCCAGCCTGGTCATTTCCTACATGTGGAATTAGAGAGGAGCACTACCTCCTTTGCCTAAAGCAGCAAAATATTTCATACTGAATGGAGGTGCCACTGGGGGCAAAGTACATTTCAGTATATCCTATGGTAGACTTACTGCCTTACTGCTCTTCACACAGAGAAAGGGGAAACCCACATCCTGAGTGCATTTCTGATACTAAAAATCACATGTGCAGAAGGTATGTCCTGCATTCTCTCCTGAAAAGCAGGAGAGTGAAGAATGAACCGTTAGTGGGCTTCAGCATAAAATCATATTTTCCTTCAAAGCAGTCACTTTCCATCAAGTGAGGCTTCCTGGGCCAGAGGACACACTTCAGTAATGTTCTGTCAATTCCCATGCTTTTAAGAACCTACTTTAGTAATCTGTGCTTTCCCTCTTCTGTCCTGCAGGGTCTCCCTACAGAGACAAGATAACTATAGCAATTCTTCACCTGCAAGAGGAAGGCAAGCTGCACATGATGAAGGAGAAATGGTGGCGAGGAAACGGTTGCCCAGAAGAGGAAAGCAAAGATGCCAGTGCCCTTGGAGTACAAAACATTGGTGGCATCTTCATTGTTTTGGCAGCAGGATTGGTACTTTCCGTCTTTGTGGCAGTGGGGGAGTTTTTGTACAAATCCAAAAAAAATGCCCAGTTGGAGAAGGTAAATATTGCCCTTTTCACATTTAATTCTGCAATTATGGTCTAGTCAGAATCTCTTGGGCAACCACCTGAAAAGCCATTCTGATGTCTTTCATAGTTTTGCTCACATCATTAAAGTTCTTAGTGAATGAGCACTGGAGTTTTCATCTTTACAACTTTTAATTTGTCGTCAATATTTTTAATTGTAGCCAGCTTTCAGGACAAGTGACTATTTCTCCTCTTATTCAAGCTTGAAAAAAGACACCTTTTTACTCCTGGAAGTTCACTGCAGTTAATTTTATGGATGAAGAAGAAAGTGAAATCTGTTAATGGGAAACAAAATTAACCTTCTACAGATAGAGCTGGGTGTTAACTGAAACAACTTTCTATCAGTCCAAAGTCAGAAGTCTAAAAAGCATCTTTCTGTATCTCCTTACTGGAAGGAGGAAGGTGTTTACTCTTCAACATATGATGATAGCATCTGGAAAAGTATTAAGTCAATATATTAAGGATTTACTATTGATTATGATTCTATCACCTGTAACTTGGACACATTCCAGTTTTAAAATGTAAATTCTTGAACTTATTTGATACTGGACCAACAACTGGATGGCTGATCATTTTTTCAAAGAGACAAAAAGCATCCATAGAAGTTTTGTTTCAGTACTTATGTGTATATATGTAATACATAAAATGAGTAAACATGTTTTTTATTTATATGGATTACTATGAATATACATTTAAAAACAGGGAGAAAATATGTCTTGCACAACTGAGGATCTTGTGACCTCCTTAAATGGCTATTTTGGCACTACTATTATTAAAATGTGTAGTAAATCCAAGAATCACACACACACAATACACAGAGAGAGAGAGAGAGAGAGAGAGTATATTTTCTTTTTCAGATGCTATGATTAATAGTTCTCATAATTTTAACTGTTTGGGGACTTCTGAATTTGCACTTATAGATTAATTCTACTTGTAGCACATTTATTTGGTATGCAGTTATACCTAGTTCACTGGTGCAAGTGTGCATAGGTCACCATCTAGTTCTTTTTTTCATAACACATATATTATTTTTTTTAAAGTACTGTTAGAAGAAATCTTGATATTAAACAAAAAAAATTGGATGAGGTCACAAGCTCCTTATCAGTTCTTTGAATATGTATGTGTTTCATTAAATTATAGTCTGAGTGAAAACTTAGCTTTTCGCTAATTATGTAGGATGAATTCATTCTGTCAAGATAGTTTTGGAGTTTTTTAGTAATTAAAATTAACTTTTCTTTTAGAAAATGGACTTCAAACATGAATGTATACATCACAATGGCTTTATCCTTTTTTAAAAATAATATGTCAGAAATGAATGGCCGTTTTGTATCCCTTGGTCTGTAATTTTTTTTTTTTTTTTAGAAATACTATTTTTATTTATATATAAAGTCAGAACATTTTATTGTGAGTTTTGTAACACAGGCAAACTTGCATTTAAATGGCTTAGATGCAGCTTAAGTTGATATGTGAGAATATGATGTGAACAGCATGACTTATCTTCCTAAGCATTGAATGGATATGCATATATATAAAATATGATTTTTACAATGGCTTAATATTGCAACTCACTCCATATTTTAATTGAAGCAATCTTGAATTGTTCAAACACTTCTGTAATGTAGCACTGATCTTTTCTTTTATTTGTAGTACACAATGATCTAGATGTATGTGTTTTCTACATGGAGATTAATAGAAGGAGATTATGGCTGTGTGTATGGTAGATTCTACCTTAAAACCGAGTCTTGGTTATGATAGTCTGGCTGAAAAGGTATAGAGAATAGGGAATTATGTACCAAATCCAGTTCAAGGACTTCCCAAGTGCTGTTCTTCCCCTTCACTCTTGATGTTCACATATTCCATATCACATTTAAAGGGAAGTTCTAAACAGCTTTAGCTGACCATACTTAGAAGCCCCTTTGAGTTAGAAACACAGATGATGATGATGATGATTTATAAGATTTACATTCCATCTCAAATAAGCTAAAAGTGTTCATAATCATTGGGAGGTTGGCATTCTAAACATGTTTAAATATTGAACATCACTGGACGAAGGTGATGGAGACAATACAATTGGGAATATTGCGAGCAAGCTGGTGCAAATCAGCAGAATGCCTGAACATAGATTATGCCCTCCTGATTTTTAGAATCCCATGACACATATTATTAAGACAGTGCAGTACCTTGAATCAGTTCAGAAAATGTGCCTTGGTGTGCATGTGAATGAAAACATACTACCTCTCTACAGCTCTTGGAAGCAGCTGTGTGTTGGGTTTTTTTTTTTTTAATGGAATTGGGAACTGCTCTCTGCAGCTGTTTGAAAGATCTGCAGTCATATGCTATGTTTGTATCCCCAAGTACTACAAAACATGTTATTGGAATCAAATTTGAAGCACTGTACCACATCATATCTTCATTTTAAAGACCTGTTATACTGTATGCATTTTTATTTTCCTGTTTGATCATTTGAGATTACTTTTTGCTTAATTTTAAAGGCTGTTTCTTAGAATATACAAAACATGAATATGCATTGAGCTGACTGAGGCTCAGTGATGACTGTTCTAAAAATGTATACCCATTGTTTATTTTATTGATCAGGTTGCATAGCCATGCTAGTCTGTGGCATTATAACTAATGGTGTTATAATGCCACAGCATTATAATAATCTTGTGACACCTTAAGAAGTATTGAAGAATTTTTGGCCCACGGTTTCATCAGATGTACAAGTCAGACTACCTAGTCAGCTTCTTGCCACATTGAACTCTATGACAAGGCACTTTAGAAGTGCCTATGAGAAGCAGTTCCATGTGAATAACTACCCAATTTCTAAGGGAATGATTTCCTTATGGCAGAAGCAGGAATTACATTCTCCTGAGAGAGTCCCAGAAGTTAATAATTGGACTGATCATATCAGCAATGTGTCTTTTTCTTTTTCTCTAGGTAATTGAATTGGCTTAATGTTAGGCAGTTAGCTGTTGATCATGTGAATGCAGCCATTGCTAGGAGGCAACTGTAGGTGTTCATAACATTTCCCCTTGATAACATTAATCAAGTTGGTTGGGTTTGATATGGTCAGAAATATTTCTCATTTGATGACTTTGTCACTGCCAAAGGTTGTGTGTGTAATTTACCTTTTGGTACTAAATCACTATTCTCAGTGTCAAATGGATTTACACTGCTGTCTCTCACACACCTTTTCTTATACCAGCAGAGGTCTTCAAGAATAGCAGAGTGTGCTGCCATTCTCTTCTTCCACATCTGATCCTGTTGTCATCATCATCATCATCACCATCATTACAATCATGTTGTGGAAGAGTTTAGTTTGAAAATGATAATTGCATCTGTTTTTCAGTCTGCTTATCATGTGAAAAATGATGTCCCAATTGCAGAGTCATTAAATCTCTGAAGACTATACCATGCCACTTTTTGATCTGGTGCCATCTGTATTTCTCTGCAGGGTTTTGTTTTGTTTTTCCCCCTTTCCCAAGTATTTGTCACAATCTCCTGGTCTGTTTTTATGTGCCAGCACATAAGTAGACAGGATAATTTGTAACTGATCTTTACAACACTGAATGTTCAGGTTAAAATATTAATGAAATCTTTAGGATCAGGAAGTCAA